ACCTTTTTTCTGATTTTTAAGTTTCTGAAATTTTTGAATTTTTAAAACTTAAGTTTTCGGTAGTTTTTTTTACTTTTTTTATTTTTTCAAATTTTGAATCAATTGATTTTATATCAAAAAAATAAGAAAAATCAGATTTCAGCTGCTTTTCCTCTTGTAAGAGAGTCATTATTTCAATGAACTTGACTATTTCTTTTGCGATAAGTTCAAATAATCTCACGAAAATCTGTGAAATTTTATCTTGAGAGACAAAAAAAATGGATTATTCAATAAATACAAGCCCAGGACTTCTAATCCGTTTTCATATCGACCTGTCTTGAGGGCGCTTCTAATATGGGAGGGGCTTCTATTATGGGGGGTTTAGCTGCAGCTCGGGAGAGAAGACCAGCCTGACTCAGATTTCTTCTCGTTTAATCACTTAAGCTCCCGTACATAGTGATTAACTACATACTAACGATAAGGGCTTTTAATGCGTGTCAAGCATGTAGTCAGTTTGTTATCGAATGGATAGTCCAAGACAAACAGCCATTAATGACTAATCAAAGGTCATTCTACATCTGATGGCGCCGAGGTTCTCACACACTAGTTCGTGGATGTGTTGAATATCTTAACCATTCAGCCACAGTGGCGTCCAAAAAGTTAGGGCTTCTAGCATTCTTTAGCGAATAAGAGTGCACTGATTCTAAGGAATCAGAACTGGTTAAAATCGATTGGAGCTGAAATAAAGTTCGATCAAAACCAGTAAGAACTAGAACCTGAAAGACACCTATGAATATTGCTTACTCGCAGAATCTTTGTTTTTCTAGGACAGAGACAATAATCGTAAACATGAACCCTGACTGTTAGAAAAGGAGATTTTTGATGTATCTCATTGGTGAATGATCGTATCAGCTATGTCAATATCATGAATGGGTTGCCTAGATAAAAGTTTAGTTTGCATCGAACTTAACTAGCATCCTCTTAGATATCCAGTGAGTGTATCATGATGGAATGCTGAATATCAGACAGATATTCCCTCAATCCAAAGGCTAAAATTCATAGTCGATAAATAACTCATTTTTGTATTTATGTTTGTCTGAAATATAGCTTTTCAAACCTATATCTGTCGCATTCTATGGCAAGATTTTTCCCGTTCTTCTGCTAGTCTCAATCCTATTCATTCTCTGAGAAATCCTGGAAGAATGTATCTATATCCTGGATTTCAAAGATCTGGTCTAGTTTTCCTCAGAATCCTATCCCAAACTCTAGTAATTTTTTATTCAGGATTACATCGGATTCTGCTCATTAGGGTGTGGGTGTGTGTGTGCGTGTTGATGTCAGTAGGGTGGGGTGAGGGTGTGGCTGCGGGGNTTGATATAGCTGACTGTTAAAATATTTTATTTGTTAATCATAAAATTTATTAAAGAATGATTTTATTTAATAACCGATCATTCAAACAGTTTACTGGTAGTTCAATATATTTACTGATCATTCGTTCAATCAGCTGATTTTATAATTTTCTATTTTACTGATCAATTAAATCCATGCCGATTTTTTTTGAACTGTTTTCACCAGGTTTAGTCAATGGTTTTATTGCAATCAAAAATAAATCGATCATTTGTAACATTCAGAAAGACGAATGACAAATCCTTTCTCAGTATATTTTATTGCTTAAAATGATGCAATTCCTTTATATAATAACAGAAGAAGGTTTTTTTTTAAAACTAGTATTTTTAATGGATTACTCGCTTTTTTGTTGAAAAGGTTCCTTTAATAAGTATGTGGAATATGGAACATTGTCTTTCCTTGCCGAAAGAATTATGGCAGTATTCAACATTACTGTGGTTTTCCAATTCGATTCAGTTGCTATGGTAGTGACGAATAGGAAAATAAATGTATTTTTCGACTGATGACTTGGCGTTAGAGGAAGTCATCCGATGGAATAAATACTTATCTCGAATGGGTCAACATTTGGAAAATAATAATCAGATTCTCATCGCGATCGACTAACTAGGTTAGTGGTTGAGTGTTGAAGCTAATTCTCCTCTATCATCCCTTGTGTTTTGTTCTAATACAGTAATACACGGTTCGAATGCTTTCAGTTCGTTTCTTCATTCGAGACAATGCTCATTTATCAACGGTTGTTTTGCAAATACGAATCAATCGTTCGTTGATTACCTTGGTTGCTTCGTGCTACTAGTGAAAATCACTGGTTATGACAAACGAAATCAATCAGTGAGATTTTTCAACGGATAACAATTATATTTTGTTACAGTGATATTTTCACTTATGCTGCAGCTAGCAATTTCCGGTTCTCATCGATCCTTAAGATTAATTTTGAATTCTTCCTCGATGCGGCTAAATTCATACATATCCAAATCGGACTAGGTTTTATTCCAACGACAGTTTGCACTCTTATTTATGATCGATACAGAATATTAGTTATTGTAATAAAAATTTATTTAAGTGTTTTATTTGTTGACAATGGAGATATTCGTTCAATAAAAGTCGAATGTTTCACTGCTAGTTATGGCCTGACTATCTGCAATACTCAACGGTCGTAGTTTCATTAATTATCCTTTTTTTTAATGAGATTAATTTGAAAAACATCTTTGTCTATAAGTAGAGCCCATTTGGCACTAAAATTAGAAAACTAATGACTTCATTAAACAAAGAATAAATCTAGACTGAACTACATATGAGCACTCATACGGTCTTGTGTCTTATCAGCGCGTTCCATCGGTTTGCAGGATTTCATAGATTTAGAGAAAAATCAAATTTCGATGCCAAAGAGTTCCTTATAAAGTTTATTTTATCAACCTTGAAAATGTAATTGTCGAAACAATTGAACTGTGCATTTTAATTTTCATTTATTTTTCCACTATTTGATTTTGTTGACATAGACTTTCATGCTTCTAAACACAATGTAAGAGTAGAAAAGAAAGGTGTGTGTGTGTGTTTTCTATCTCTATGCCAGAAACAGAATCGTCTAGCAAGTGAGTGTTGTTTTTTTCTTCACTTACAATTATTTATACATAAAAAAATCAAAAATTTGATATGAAAATATGACTGGAATTTCGATTTCAAATTTGTCATACAGGTGCTAAACATATTATTTGAGTAAAGATTGAACTGATTAAATTTTATTATATAAAAATCTATACTCACGTGTTTCATTACGATGAAACTGCGATCGTACTCGCGCTGTCACTCGTAATTGCGGAAAATTGAGACGTAGCTAAGCGTAACTACGATGAAAAAATCGCAGTTACGCGTAGTTACGCGTAACTGAGTCGCAATTTTTCGCAATTGCTGGTGAGAGCCTTTACAGCTATCTACATGTCAAACTTGAAACTTGAATTCAGTTGAAAATTGAAAATTTCAATTTTCAATTTTTAAGCCAATAGCATTTTGAAGAATCGCGACTCACACATATATTGCTATGAGTTGAAAGTTGAAGTTTTCTATTTTCAACTGAATTCAAGTTTCAAGTTTGCCACTACTGTACAGTTAGGGAGCCACTTCACCGCAACTGTTACAATAGATTGCATAGATTAGGTTTTCACTTTAGTTATGTTGTTATCTTGAGTTAAAAGAAAAATTGTTAAGCAGACAAAATAAAAAACTTAAACTATAGAATTAAAATTTTTAAGAAAAAATTAACACTTGAAAACAATTTTTGAACTTAAACCATTGAGAAAAATAAAAGGGAAATGTCTAGAAAAATAAAAAAATTAACATGTAGAAAAAATTAGAAAAATAAAAGAAACAATATATTGATAAAATTTAAAAGATTAGAAAGATTTTTTAAAAAATATCGGAATATCTATTCTATTAGTTATACTAGAATGACTTATGAAGCAGCTGTGATGGGCACTGCTTTTTATACTAACTTTCTGCGACTAAGTTTTAGTGTTCGACAGTGGCCCATTACAAATAAGGAGAAAGTATTTGTAATTGGTCAGTTACAGTTACAACAGATCGCATGATGCGATCACTAGAACGCAGTAAGCGTAGTTTGTTATAGAGATCTTCACTACGGTCAATGCGACGTAAAATTGGCTCTGCGCGTAACTGTGGCGCAGTTCGTAAAAAAGAGACGACATGGGCAACTAAAGACAGACTATGAATGGTATTTTATCTGCTGTATTACTTCTCAGATGGCAACGTAGCATGTGCTCAGATTCAACATATTCTTGATTACAATCGAGGCGCACCACGAATAATTGATGAAAAATCGAGCAATTATGATTTTTTCTGATTAAATTGAAGATTTTAATCGATTTTTTTAACTTTAATCACATCAAATCGATTAAAGCGACCTTAATATCGATTGTCTATGGTTTTTATTAATCAATTAGAATTGATTTTGAGTAATAATCGATTTTCATCAGTATTTTATTATTTTTTTTCTCGATTAAAATCCACAAAAATTGATGCGTTTCTCGAATCGATTATAATCATTGAGATTTAGTTAGTTTAAAATAAACTCCCACTACTAATAACATATTAGAATCGATTTTGCTTTTGAATGCATTTAGCGAACCCGAGTCTTATGCAGGTTAAAATAGCTAAATTGAAAGCCCAATTAGGAGTGATTCAATTTTTTCAGCAGAATAGTTTACAAAAATCAAGCAAAACTGATTCCAGACTGAAAAAACATGTTTTGAGAACTTCCACTATCAGAAGTCACTTCTTTATTGATTTTTCGTAATTAATAAGAAAAGGTTTGAAAAAAAATCATTTGCAATGATCTTTTATGATTAAGTTGCGTTATACAAGTGAAAGTTAAAGCCATCATAGCAATTTAAAGAGTGCTCATTTTAACAGTGTAAAATAAATCACTGTTTAAATCTTAAAAATATGATATCTGGAAAATTTAGAAAGATAGATTATCACTTCAGTACTTGGGACAATGAACGGCATGCGCAGGCAATCCTACATCAGTAACTATCACCTTTGCTATTCAAAAAGCTCGTTAGCGCAGCCCTTTTGGAGCTAAAATGTGGAACTCACATATGTCCCTTCAAGTCACTAACATAATTCAAAATAGACCATCTGAAAAATCTACCCTGATATTCAAAACCTATAATTAGGTTATTGCCTATTTGCTTATGTCTGTAATGAAGTATTAATTGTTAGCTCGTATGTTTAACAATGGCAAAGACTAGTTTCTATGGTCTGTAATTGGCGAGCGTTGTTTCTTTCATGTAGTCTGTAATTAAAAAACGAAGAAATAGCAGCCTAATTAGTCGAGCTCCTAATTAGCACAACTTTAAACTCACTAATGTCTGTAATGGGGAGGGGAGGGTGCGGAACCGCAAAAATCTCGCTTTTAAACTTACACTCATCATTTTCTTCGGAAATATATGTGGGTTACACAAACATGATGGAACAACCTATTGAGGCTCGGTATATGTAGGAACAAGACAGAACCTTAGATACTGAGCTCGATTTGTTGATGCACATGAAAAGCGCGATTTCAGCATATATGACCTGGCTTGAATTTAGGGCAACGATTCAATTATGTCGAAAAGCTGATGTAATACACAATAATCAGAAACATCAAACTCCTTTCAAAGAAAAAACTGTAACACTTCCATTGATTTCTTCTTTTTTCTCGCAGAGGAGTATCACCAGTTCGTTTAGCAATAAAATAAGGAAGTAAAAGTACATTTTGTTGCGAAAGTAAAAATTCTGAATAATGAAATTTAGAGAATACTGACGAATTCTTGAAAAAGTACTTTCAGGAAAGTATAAATAAGTCTAATCTTGCTAATTGTAAATCAGCGTTACTGGAAGCAATTGATGAGATGCCGATTTCAAACCATTACAGCTATCTTCAATCAGCTGTTAGTTGATTTGTGATTGATTAAAAACAGATAAAAATAAGCTGAAGTTTGTTGTAATCGGTAGTATTAGGAAAAAATTGTTGCATCGATTATAACCGATTTTAGCTAATTAAAAGTCGACTATAAACATTCAAACGTTATATTAAAAGACACAAGAAAAATGCAAGTACATATTGAAGGCTGCATGACTACTACGCTCTTGAAACATTTTCGTTTTCGTCCTTAGCAACTCTCAAAGGTAAGAATCTATTTTTCTCTCATATTGACGACATCAAGACACCGTCAACAAGAATTAAATCGATAATATTATATCAGATGAACATGAGTCGGCTATAAAAAATTATCTCGCGCTCATCTTGTTTTATTAATTAGGAATTTTCCCATAAGCACAACTTCTGTGAGATCATTTCAAATAAGTTTTTCTTCTTAAATAGAGATATTAACATGGGAATCGTGCATTCAATATACAGAGCATGATAAAAAGCAGACTAACTTGATCTTTGGTCAAACAATAATGAATAGTTTATCGGGAAAGCTTTCAAAATCGAGCATGCAAATATCTTTTAATTAACACGTATCGAAATGTAGTGTATGATTTCCCTTCGCGTCTAATCATAGTGTATAACAGAGTCACGTTCGAACGTCTTTACATCGTACTTGTTGTTTGCTCGAGTAAGGAAGAAATAGTTATCATTGGTTGAGAGAAACCACTATTTTTTTCTTTTTATATGTTTCACAGAAGTTCAGCTGCAACGACAGAAAAAGCACAAGAATAGTCCTGACAGGAATAGATAAATGAAATACGATTTTGAAAATAAAAGTGATATGTTTGATATTGCGATGTTCCTCTTTTATTTTTCTTGAAGAAAACAAAATTTGATTCGAATAAGAGTTTATCCATTCTAACTCTATAGTCTATTTGAGTTCGTTTTATTTGATTGAGTCTAGGGGATCCAATTCGATGCTAACATCTATTTTTATTCTTAAAACTATTCGACTATAAATCTGATAACTTTATTTTTTTATGATGTCATCTCGAGATATCTGAGTACTCTTTATCGTATCTATATTGTCGTCTTTTTTTTAACAAATCTGTTATAAAACGATAACGTTAGCTGCGTGAGATATCGAGCATGTGTCTAGTAATGCTTGTTGATTAAGTAGCTCTATCTTTTTTAACAATTTACTCTCGTTTAGTTAGATTTAGTATGTAGCAGGTATTTATTTAATTCACTTTTTAGTGCATCAAAGCGTTCGTTGTAGCGTATTATTCTTTCTGTAGTGTAAATATCTCGTTTATAAAAAGAAAAGCTTTTTCTTTATCTGTCAGAGAAACAAAACAGACTTATGTCACTGTCAGAACCTACGCTCAACGAGAAAAAACTTGATTGAAGAGTTTGGCTCTCAATCTTGATTGTTTCAGAAGAATTTCTAAGATTTTTGGAAGCTTTTTTTTCTTCGTAGAAAATATATTGGTAGGTTTTCGTAATAAATTTTAAAAAAACAATCTTTAAATGACTAAGCCGGAAATGAGTGAAGGGTTTACTTTTTTTTTCTTCTGCCATATAATTCAGCTCTACGTTTCTGAATTCATAAAATACAGATTTCATATTTTATTCATTAAGAAATGTAGTCGTGTTCATAAATATTTGACATGTCACTACAGTACGTGATAAATGCGGTTCTTTTTTATTCTATTCCGCATATCCTCGTAATTAAAAAATAATGATCAAAGAATACTTTATGTAAGAAAAAAATTCATCTCGTCACCTTTTGTTATATCAAAACATTGGACTGTTTGTTTCATCTGAAACAGAAACACCTTCTGTTGCATCCTTCTCAAAGAACTTTCCACTCAGACGTACTACTTCACACGTCCGGTTGTTTTATAGAATTTTTTTTAAATGCTGTTTCGTTTAGCTTTTTTTCCTTAATAAAATCAATGAACCAACCTTTTTTCGTTGAATAATTTATATCGCAAGCAACTGTCCTCGTTTCAGTTACCATTTAGAGTTTGGGCTAAAAATAGATTCATTTTCCTTTCATCTATGTGCCGAGTTTGATAGGATTACAAGAGGTTACATAACATATAGATGGTTTTATAGGCTGATAGAGGTACTTTTTATTTGAGCTCACTAGAGCGTAGTGTAGAGGTGTTCATAGTTTCTCATCAATCTATATGTTTGTGAAAAGAATAACCTAATAAAGCAAAGCGAAAAGTTTTCACGACCACGAGAGACGTTATAGTACTATCAACACCCATTCGCTCGGCACATTTTTTTTTCCTTCGCAGTATGAATAATGAGTCAAAAAAACTTGTATAAGAATACAGTAAAGTGCAACGAGTACAAAATTTCAAGAAAGGAGTTTCTACCGATTTTCACTTAAGAATTTTAGTTTATTTTATGTTTTATAATTTTAAATATTTTCTCTGCTATTATATTCGTGCGAAAAATTTTATAGGTCAAAATGTGACTTGTACTTAAAGCGTCCTCTATGGAATTACGTTAATTTTTTTCTACTGGTTATAAAAAACAAATGAAAAGGAGGTTTTTTTTTGACCTTGAATAAAAAACCTAGCAAACGAATGACAAAGAATAAACAGCGTAAGCAACAATGTTGGCAAACTTTTTTTAAATCCTATTTTTTCAGATTATTGATCTTCCGCCAGTATGTCCGAATCGAGTTGTAAGTTTCTATTGAATCATAAGACAATAAACTCAACTGATAATCTATTTATTTATTTTAGGCTTTAGTTATGGTGATAATGGAGCATTTTCGCCATCTATGGATGTAACTACGCAAATCCAAAATGGAATGCCACATGGAAATGGAAATTCGAATTATTCAAGTGGTTCAGGAGGAGATTCTCCGAACTCTTTAAGCCCAAGTAAAATAATTGAAGTAAAAACATAGACAACAGATATTTTAATTCTTTTTCAGTTGCAGTATCATCCGGTGGTCCCTTTAGTGGTATTGGTGGTAACTCGAATTCATCTGCAGGCTCAACACCAACAGCGACAACAAGTGGTGCCGCAGCCGCTGCTGCCTCTCGTTATGCTTGCGTTATCTGTGGTGATAAAGCATCGGGAAAACATTATGGAGTTCACAGGTAAATTGTTTTTCTTCGGCTTTTTTGATTGAGCGTACTGTTTTCAATTTTCAACTATTTAGTTGTGAAGGGTGTAAAGGCTTTTTTAAACGTACTGTACGCAAAGATTTAACATATACATGTCGAGACAATCGTGACTGTATCATCGATAAACGGCAGCGTAATCGATGTCAATATTGCCGTTATCAAAAATGTATTACTGTTGGCATGAAAAAAGAAGGTAGGAAAAATCAATGGAATGATGTAGTAAATTTTATCCTTACGAAAAATAATTTTATTATTTAGCTGTACAAGAAGAGCGCCAAAAATCTGCTATGAATGGCGAAAGTGAATCCCCATCGTCACCTATCGCTAGTACTGGCAGTAATAGTAATCACATTAATACAGGTTCAGGCTCAATGGGTGAAGAAGAAACTTTAATTGAAAAATTGATTACTGCTGAATTATATGTTGAACAAAAACTTGATTCCTACCACGAAGAAGAATGCTCATATGACCGCCTTACGTCAACCAGTCATACTCAAATTGTTCGCTTAATTGATTGGGCAAGACGTGTACCATATTTTACTACATTGTCAATGGATGATCAAATTGCAATTGTTCAAGCTTCATGGAGAGATATTTTATGTTGTTCATTAGCTTACAGATCAATTATGGCACCTGATTGTGGTTTGATTCTATCGGTTAGTATTTTACATTCACTTTGTTTTTTTCCTTAGAAAACTAAAAATTCGATTATCTGTTTCCTTTTGTTTAGTAGACTAGCAGTTTCAATTAGTCAAATTACAGTAGACTTCTATAGCAATAGATTATCTTTAACTAATCTACATGAAGAATTAGTGAAATTTTTCAAAACAAAAAAAAACACTATCTCATATCCTATTTTTTCTCTAATGACTACAAAATTTTACTTCTAATTTTGAAGCCATGGTAAATGAAACCCTGCCAATACAATTAGGCATAAAAAGAGCAAACACTAAATTGAAAGATTTCAATCGAATTCATATCATAATGCCCCATTTTTATCAAAGTACATCTTTTGTTTTGAGTGATATTTATTCAAATCTGAAGTTCTTAAAAGAAAATAAACATGATTTTTTCTATTTTAGGATGGTTCATATGTTCGACCACATACAGCTGTTGATCAATCTCTTCAGTTTTTTATTACTCGCCTGTATCATGATGTCGTGACAATATTACGCGAATTGAATGTTGACAAAGTCGAAATAACATGTCTCAAGGCTATATTTCTTTTTGATCCTGGTATGACAAGATAGAATGTTTAGAATTAGTTTAACTATTTTGCTTTTAGATGCTAAAGACGTTCTTGATACAACTCGCGTATCTGAATTACGTGAAAAAATTTGTATGTCGTTGGCAATGTATTGCAAAAAATTTCACAGCGATGATGTCGCTCGTTTTGCTAAATTACTTCTTCGTATGCCACCAATTCGAGGTTGGTGTATAAAAGGTATTGAAAATTTATTTTTTGCCGCTGCAGCTCACTCAGTCGACTCCGATATCACGCGTATGCTTCGAAGTCCTTAAATATTAGACAAAAACAAAAAGATTCAAGTTCAAGAAAAATATTTTATTTTATATGCAGCTGTGTGAAATATATTTTCAAGATTAAAATTTGGCGAAGACATAAAACCATATGCGAGTTTATTTGTTTTTTTTCGTTTTATTTTATTTCAATGTCATGTGTGTGTGTGTGTTATGTTTGAACCCCTTGTCTATATCTCTGTGATACTCGTCATTGAGAAAATTTTAAACAAAAATAACAAAAAAAGTTCATTTCATGTCATTGACCGGTTTCGTTTATTATTTTTTTCTGTTTTTCTATTACTATATAGTGATTGTTGTATATCGTGTATTATGTAACCCGTTTTCTTTCTTTTTTTCTTCTTTTTTCTCTTTGTTTGAAAATTGTATTTATTTGTGTATGTGCATGTAGTCGTCAAACAAAAAAAAAATATATAGATATATTTATCGCATTATGAAAATCTCGCAAAGTGAAATTAAGAAATGATCTTTGTTTTTTTTTAAATTTATTAGATGCTCGTAATTGGTTCGCAAGCAGAATTTCTAGGACGTAGATTCCCTTGGGAAATTTATAGAAACTAAATGCAAAGGTCTAATAAATTAATAAATAAGATAGGAATATTTTATTATTCCTACAAAGAAACAAAAGTCATTTACAAATAAAACTAGATGAGAAATTAAAAGTACTACAGATGACTTATTGACATAAACTTGTAATTATTATAACGAAGAGTGGATCTTAGTAAAATCTAGGTAATTTATAGGTTGTTAAAAAATTCTGCTTCAATTACGCACTGAATCTAAGGTTTTCGACCAATAGATTTTATAGGAATATTTGGTTGTGAAAATTTTCTAAAGCACTTCTACAATTGAATAGATTATTATCTTGTAGAAGCATGTGTCAACTTTTAAGTCGAAAATATTTTTCTCATGCTCCTTTTATAATTCTAAGCGAAATTATTTCAAAGAGAATGAAAAGAATATTCTCAATAATAATCTATTCCTTGTTGCAAGATTCTATACTGATAACGTTGACAGAATGGGGATTTGTCAATAAATATAAGAAGAGAAGAACAAGCTTGTACGCATCGATTAACATGTCATGTTTATGTCAGAGTAAACATTTTTAGTGAATTATAAAGTCTATTCTGGTTAACAAAATGGTTAAAATGAATAAATAATAGGGTTCAACGATAAAAATGTTTAGCACATTCTTTTTCCTGCAATTATATCAAGTACTTTGTCTAGACAACCATGGTTCGAGAAATTCTTTCATGTATACAAATTTCATGTTGAGCCTATTTCCATAGAGAAATAAATATTCGCAAGACTTCATTGTTTGTATTACTTTCATTTCTTTATCTGCATCTATTAATAATATAGAAGGCTAGAATAGAATGCAGTCATAGGGCGGAAGGATTAATGTGTAACTAATTGAGTTCTAGAGGTGAAAATTGTGAAATACGTACCATTATTATTCGTCATGATTGAACATTTTTATGAAAATTATTTTTACACATCCTTAGTTTTGCGATATTATATAATCATATGTTGAATTGTCGTGATTCTTTACTATGAAATTTGACCATTTTTATTCGGTGTTATGTTTAAATTCAATCAAACACAATGACTAATCGATTCGTGAAATTGATTGATGATGTATTATTTCTGTATTTATTTTTTCATTTGTTAAGTTATCGAAATGGATGAATTTTACTCATTTGCATGAGACTGTGAACCTTGATGAATAAAAATCTCAACTAAATAATTAAAAAAACCATACAATGTATATGTCTTATGAGAGACGTTACCATATTTTTAATTATTTTTCAATTAGAATAAGGTCTATATTCTGAGCCTTCATGAGTATCCTGATTAGAATTCTCCATACTGATTTACTACAGGAGAGCTAATGCAATTTTACGGCTTCTTGTTTTACACCAAAGCCTTGGTCGTCTTCAATATTATTCGCCAAGAGAATCGTGTTCTAATATAAAAAAACAAGGCATCGGCACTAGGACAATTCGTCGCATAGTCAATTCGTCGCAGACTATTCGTCGCAAGAAAAATATGTCGCACGGACAATTCGTCGCATATACAGTAAACATAATTTAATCTAGAGAGAGAGAGAGCAAAGAGAGAAAAGAATAATTGTGATAAAATATAGCATTTTATTTTTATTGGAAGATAAATGAAAATGTTTTTAATTATTTGTTTTTAATGATTTTTTTTCAATTTCCCATCAAGCTATTAGCTTTTCCACGAGATTGATAATATCTTTCAAAATATAGTGGGTTTACTCATTAAGTTCAACGCATTCGACTTGATTTAATTATGTCGAGCGATATTTCATATTCTCTTTCATTAATTAACATTGCGACGAATTGTCCAGTCACCCAAGGCATCGAGGTACAAATTTGCTTTAGTGGAAATTAGTAGAAGAGAATAGTCATCGATTTTTCTTTATAAATGATTAAATTTAGTTCAGAGTACATAGAAGAATTAAAAAAATTGAAATTTTTATCAATAACAAAAACTATCTGCAATTCTTACAAGAAAATATAATATCAACAGGATTAATTAGATCAATACGTCTTGATAAGTACAATACTATATTCCTAATAACTTATCTCAATAGTCGCTTGCATATTTTTAATGATGATTATAGTACTTATTTCTTTAGTTCCGCTCTCTTCTTTGACCTATACTAATAATGGAAAAGTTACGCAGAAATTTGATTCATACCGTCTCTCTATGGCATCCATCATGTTATTACGAGACACAATTATTTGCATGAATGAGTACTAAGAAAACTAAGAAAAAAAAAAGAATATTAAGTTTGTCTAATATTTTTCGTTTTTATTCGAATGAATAACCGATTAAAATCACCTTATAATTGATTATGAGATTGCACTGATACTATTTTTTACATTTACGTAATAATTGCAAGAGTTTTTGAATAATAAAAATCCAAGTAGTCGATATTTGTGGAGGATAATAGTACTTATTATAATCTTGAGTATAGATGGATCCTCGCTTGATTCACACGGCAATCGAACCCAAATTTTATTCCAGTCATGGTGTGCTGTTAACTCTATGATTTGAATACGGTCGTTTAATCACAAAATAGAACTACGAATTGCAAAGAATTTATAATTTGTTTTTCTATAGTTCATAGACAAACACTATTGTAACTCACCTGAGTAAAATAAGAATACTCTAACAAATGACATGGCTACACTATCTTATAAAAAAAATATGCAGGAGCGGAGAAGGGTATTTTTTCAGCTTCGCAATCGATTTGTTCTATGGCTCGAATGTTATAATATTTAGAATAAAATTCTTGCATGTTTAATAGTAATATCGGCCGGTCCGCGTAACGCGCTACTTCGCTGATCAAGTTTTAAAAAAATTTGTTTTTCCGATATAGACAGATCTAATCGTATTTTCTGGTATAGTTGTTTACGCTGATTGTGAATTTGGACTTTTTTTCTTTAAAAAAATTGGGTTTTGGCATCGAAAATCGGATTTTAAAGTTTTTAAAAACTGTATTTTCAATTTTCTAACCAAGAAATTTAAAGCAAAATGCAGAGTAATATATCATTCGATGCAGAATTTGATTCTCTACAAAATCGCCTATTAATTTTTTACACCCATTCTTCAGGACAACGTCTGAGCTCTTGTACAGTTTCTAACTTACTATACAATTATTGTGCTCGTATTTCCATGCAGCAACTTGATATTTTTCCAGAAGGATATATGCAGGGCAGTGATCAATATATATAAACAATAAATATTTTTAAGCATGTTAAGTGCTTCAAATTGGGTCGACAAAAAGACGTGTCACAGCGTTACGTTTGTTTTTTGCATTTTTAATCTGAGAGAAAATAGTTTAGAAAAAAGATTTCTTACTGCTTGAAAGCCCATTCAATTCTCTACAAAACTTGTACCATAGCGTTTCATTTGAAGAAATGATTTGTCAGAAAATTAGAGCTTTACAAGCAGCCCTAGAAAAAAGGGTCCTTTTTGTCAAAGTGTTACGCGATGATAAAACTTTTCTAGAAGCGCGAGAGTTCAGTTAAACTGGGTCATTCTTTCAACATAAATAGAGTATGATGAGCTGCGTCGAATGACATTTGAACGATCTTATTAGCTCTTATGCCTTTCGAGATAATTGCAAAGCAATTTGTCAAAATGTTACAGCGTTACGTCTGGACAAGCCGATATACTTGAAGATAAGAAAATGCAGTTTCATATATCGACAAAAAAGAATTATTCTTTGTGTAAATATCAAAATTCTTTTTTATTTTTTAGTAGTATTCATTACAAATGCAAAATATATACAATCACATCTCACTATTTAACTAACTCACGATATGAAGGAAAGAAATACTACAATTACCAGTAAGATCTCTATGGGCTCTACAACACTATCATCAAATACCGTGCGATCAAGACGCAGCATGAATCAAAATTATTTAATTATCTGGATTGATGATAACATCGATCCAGCAAACGTGGATTGTCAACACTTCCGAAAGAAATTACACGATGTCGTCAATGACGTGAATCTTTGCACGAGACCAACAGGATGTATTCAACTTCTTAATGATCTGCGGAATGGAAACGTTTTTGTTATCTCTTCTGGAACAGTAAGAAAACCTCTCGTGCCAGATATTCATAGCAGATCGCAACTAGATGCAATTTACATATTTTGTAGTAGCTAGATACAACATTAACAATGGATATATTGTTGACCAATAATTTGAGGTATTTTTACTTCAATCCAACTCATATGTGAGTCATTGAAAAAGATCGCTCGTGAATGTGACCATGATGCACTATCCATGAGTTTTGTTTCGAAGCGAATGATGGTAACAGCAACACAATCGGACCAACTACCGCTCGACCAATTAGAACCGTCATTTATGTATTCGGTATTATTCAAGAAAATTGTACTAGAAATTAAGGAAGATGATAAAAAAATTAATAAAAGATCTCGT